GTTGATATACCCATTGTGTGTGTTGCCATCAAGAGGGATCTCAACAGGATGAATAAATGGGTCAATGGGATTCTTCACTAGATTTTAGTCTGAAAGCCTCTTGGAACAATGACTGTTTCTACTTGTGTCATTACTGAAGTCCTTAAAAAAAAAAAAAAAAAAAAAAAAAAAAAGTGAATAAATCAACTATTTAAGCAATTAATAATGTCCCAACATCAGTGAAATGATTGTGTCCCTGGCTCCTGGAGTACTTTATAATAAATATGAGAAACTTTCCTGCAGCTTTCTCTGACTGGTGTTTCTACATGCAAACTAGTAAAATGTATACAGCTGTAATAGAGAGACTGCCAGAAACATATAAACTATGTGTGACTATGGATTAGATTCACACCTTGAGATGACTGCCTACACATAAAAGAATCAGAAACTAGTGTTTGTGCCACAGAAAAACACCATCCAAAGTAAGATCTTATTTAGAAGTGATTAAATGCCCACAGTAGACAAAAAGGTATGCAAACACTCTGCAGTTGTGCTTTTTGCCAGTTACACACAGAATTCCCCAGCTGTAAGCCCATGCACAATCTAGCAGCCACAGCTGAACAGCTCCACATAGAGTGTAGTATTATCTCCAGTGAGGATGGTCTGAAAGCATTCCCGTATGGAAGAGCTACCTCCAAACAGTGCCCCACTGGAGTTAACCCAGCTGAATTTAAGCACTGCAGGGGGTAAGACAGAGCTCTACTACAGTGTTTTGCATTGCTACCAATAGAGTAATTTCTCCAAAGTTTTTCTAAATGATGCACCACAGAAGACTGAAGCAGAACTGTCAAGTCATGAATTTAATTCAGGCTTGCTAAAAGACTCTTTGCCTGAAATTAATCTAAGTACTCGTATTATAAATCCCTATTCATTCCATCTTCCCCCAATCTGTTTTGGCTGGGGTAGAGTTGATTTTGTTTACAGTGGCTGGCACAGGGCTCAAACCACTAATTTTGTAGTTTTCACCCTTCTGATTCTTTCCCATTACTTGCAGAAATTAATTCACAGGACTGTACTTGCATTTTTCAATGTCCAGTAAATTAGTGACATTTCAAATGTTCTTTCAGCTTTACTTTTCAATAAAAATAGATGATGTATGCTCAGTACAGAGGGAACATACAAAGCACAGACTGCAAAGTTATGTGTCATTCTGTATATAACTTTAGAGCAATTCATGTTTTGTCACAGCTACAAATTGATTATTGGATATGCTGCTACCAGACACCATAACCCTTGATACAATCACAAAATGGGTCAGGGTGGACATGACCACAGCAGGTCCAACCTCCCTGCTGAGGCAAGGTCATCACAGAGCACATTGCACAGGATCACACCTAGATGGGGTCTTGAGTATTTCCAGGGAGGGAGACCTCCACAGCCTCTCTGGGTAATCTTTTCCAGTGCTCTGTCACTGCACAGTAAAGTTCCTCCTCATGTTCAGACAGGACTAACTGCACATCAGTTTGTTGACTCTTGTGCTACTGCTCAGCACCACCAAGCAGAGCCTGCATGCATGCACTGACACCCTGACACAGACACTGATGAGCTCCCTTATCAGTTGATTCTTCTTGAGACTGAACAGGCCCAACTCTAGGTATCACATCGCTCACTATATAATAAATACTGTAGAACTTGGAGGAAAAATACTCCAGGCACTTCATCAAACCTTGTGAGCAATGCATATAAGCTCTGGGAAGAAAATCTAAGTATAATCTTCCAAAGTTAAAAAAAAAAAAAAAAAGAGACCAAGGAATACAGAAGTTCATAAAGCTATCCTTTTGGAGTTTACACAGTAATAACAGGCGACTAACGTGTGAAATACTGGCTGCTCTGCAGTGCTGCACAAAATTGCAGCATACTCCCCTCTGGAGAGGAAAGCAAGGTACTGTACCTTGCATCATATTTCAGCTAATGATAATACAGTGCATCTAACTTCAGAAGCCCAAATTACATCCTTTTAGGAAGTCAAACAAAGGAATCTTTTGATTAGGAAGTTCATGAGAAACTGAATTTCTCCAAGCTTAATGGGCAAGAACTTCTGACAGGTATCTTAAGATATTTAACACTGTACATTAGGAATACTGTATTAATCTTCAGCAAATACCAAGCTTTAAAGAAGTCAGAGAAATACAGACAGAGCTGTATTTCTGGCTGCTCATAATACCTTGATGTTCTAAACTTCCCTTACTAATCAGTAAATTACTGCTCTAAATGAGAACCTAGAATTTCAAATTAATTATGATGGATTTCCAATATAAGCCTAACCAAAAATTACCTAAGTGTCCAACACAAACCAGTGGACAGGAGAGCTACTACTTACAATACAAAAATCATGCTACATTTAACTGCAAGGAGGAAAGATTCTGCTTTTATATGTAACTCCAAATGTGAGGCCAGGTCTTCACAGGAAACTCAACATTTTTAAATGCCATTTTTAAATCCCAAACTGTCAATGCAGTAACAACACAAAATGCAGTTTACTTAAGATAGGCCACAATCTTATTATCCACATCCTTACATGCAGCTAGGCTACAGCCCATCTAGCTACCTAGGCAATGTTTGTGAAGTCACCAGTGCCAAGCTCTAGAGTCCAGGTGTGGACAGAACACAGCTGGGCCTGCTCCAGGCAGCCAGCAGCTAAGGTACACACCCATTATACATAGTACAGCTTCCTCAACCACCCACATGCCTTTTCACAGAGCCTGTCAAATTCTCTTTACAAGGAAGATGTCAAATACAGGCGGAGCTTCTTCTTAAAACCCAAGGTAACTGTTTTGGAAGAAAGGAGGAAGACAATCCAGAACAGAAAAACAACTTTATTTAACAATGCCTCTAAACACATGAAATTAGGAGTCAGTATTTTTACAATAAGTTTACCTCTTGGAATCTAGAGTTGTATTTTCTCCCATTACCACAGGCTCTATTACCTTTTACATCACAACATATCGTTAATATCAAGTAGCATTAACACCACCACAAACAATAATTTTTTTTAACTTTAGTGTAAAGCATTTATTTGGTAATATAGCTAAGGAAATATGCACTCCAGTGAAGCTTAGAAAAAGGGAACAGCCTCTATCAAGAGGTAAAATTGATGGCGATATAGACCAGAAGTCTCAGTAAGAGAGATGAATGCAATGAAATGTAGAGCACCAAGAAAAATTTCAGTCTGTTGGGTTGAGGGTCGGGATGGGTATGAGATGTGGATTAGGAGCAAATTAACAGATTGCACTATTTCTCTTTTGACATCTAATTTTTCCATTTTCTAGGGTTATGCCACTTACTCAACATCTACTGTTCAAAATATGCTTAAAAAAGAAAGTACAGTTCTGTATATAAATGATGAACTGTATATAGAAAGCCACAGTGAATATGACACTGACAGTGTTAGAGCAGGCAAGTGACACTCTTAAACAAGGAGACTGGAATAGAGTTGCCTTGCACACCAAAAGGAGTGCAACTTCCCAACGCAGACAATGCTTGGAGAAGATGCTACACACTTAAGTGAAGTATAAAATGCATTGCTCTGGTTATGCTGCTGCTTTACAAATTCCATCCTGATGAAGGTTCCTTTATGCCCAGCTTCCAACTCAACTGTTCTTATCTGAAAGAGAAAACACAATAGTTTGCACTCTATAGTATTCAACTATTAAGACAGAAATACTGAAGTTGTTTCACATGTATTAATAAAGCATATATGAAATGGTACTCTAATAACCATTGGATAAGTGCTCCCATCAGTTGCTAGTAACACAGCTACAGTTCTAAATAAAACCTTTCTTGCACAAATAAGTTTCACTACTCCTTGAGATTAGTTTATATTAAATTCCAAGTACTTCATTAAATCACAAAATCACAGCACAGTTAGCATTGGAAAGGACCTCTGGTGATCATCCAGACCAACCCCCTCACCAAGGCAGAGTCACCTAAAGCAGGTGACACAGATATGTGTCCAGTTGGGTTTTGAGTGTCTCCAGAAAGGGAGACTCCACAACCTCTCCAGGCAGCTGTTCCAGGGTACTGCCACCCTCAGTGTAAAGAATTTCTGCCTCAAGTTATGGTGGAATGTCTTGTGCTTTAGTTTGTGGTCAAGGCTCATTGCCTCTTTTTTGGGCACCACTGAAAAGAGTCTGGCACCATCCTCCTGCCACCCACCTTTGAGATATTTCCATGTATTGGTGAGATCCCCTCTCAGTCTTCTCTTCTCCAGACCAAACAATCCCAGCTCCCAGAGTCTCTCCTCATGAGAGAGAAGCTCCAGACCCCTGATGATCCTTGTGGCCCTCCACTGGACCCTCTCCAGTAGCTCCTTGTCTCCCTTGTGCTGAGGAGCCCAGAACTGGACACAGCACTCCAGGTGTGGCCTCACTAGGGCTGAGCAGAGGGGGAGGATCACCTCCCTCGACCTGCTGGCCACACTCTTGCCAATGCACCCCAGGATGACATTGGCCCTCCTGGCCACCGGGACACTGATGGCTCCTGGACAGCTTGTGATCCACCAGGAGCCCCAGGTCCTTTTCCACAGAGCTGCTCTGCAGGAGGTCAGCCCCAGCCTGTGCTGGCGTCACTGCCAGGGAGTCTCATGAATGGCCAGAGTGGGAAGTTTCCTTAACAGCAACTCCCCTAGCCAAACCACCCTGCCATGTCATCTCAGAAGGCTATTGGTAAAGTATGATTTCTACCTGTCTACTCCCAATGGCCATCCTGACTACATGGTGAATCCATCCTGATATTCCTGATGACCATTCCTTCTACAAGCTTGGTGATGATCTTCTGAATGATCGGTTCCACCAGCTTTCCAGGGATTATGGTGAGGCTGACTGGCCAGTGGTTTCCTGGTTCCTCCTTGCCCTTTTGGAAGATGGATGTAATGTTGGCTTTCATCTAGTCATCAGGCACCTCCTGTTCTCCATTTCTCAAGGATAATGGAGAATGGCTTAGCAACACTATCTGCCAGCTACCTCAGCATCCATGGGACTATCCCATTGGAGCCTGTAGACTTATGGGCATTAAGTCTGTCTAGCTGACCTTTAACTGAACCCTCTATGACCAGGAGCAAGTCCTCTTTTCTCCAGTCTTCCTCCCTTATCTTTGAGATCTGGGATTCCTGAAGGACAGCCCCAAAAGTAAAGACTAAGGCAAAGAAGGCATTCACTAATTCCACCTTCACTGTGTCTTCCACCACCAGGACACCTGTCTGCTTCAACAATGGCTCCACACTTTCCCTAATCTTCCTTTTCCTGCTGATGTATTTATCATTGATATCCCTTGCCAGACTCAAATCCAAGTGGGTGATGGCCTGCCTCATCACATCCCTTGCATACCATCTGTTTTCATGGAAGTCCTCCATTACTAGTTCATTTTTATCAATGCTCTTCAATGATTTAACCTCACATGTAACTAAACACTGCAATACTGGTTAAATAGTTGACGTTTCTGTTGGAAATGGGATAAGGGGATAGGCAGGCAGGATAGTTCTATCAACACCTTAATGAACTCACAGAAGTTTCAATGACATATGACACATTTCTGAATAGCCAAATTTGTTCAAGAATAAACAAAAAGCTTCGAACTATCTTTGTGAATTCTCAAAACCTAAGTTCAGATTATCCAAAATCTAACTGCAGATTGCAGTTAATGCACTTCGAGGCTTTTTTCGTTTTTTAAACCACTCCAGATTACAGCACAAAGTCAGATGAACATCTTTTATTATACTTGGAAGATGTTTGATAGAACTCTAGAACTAGAGGAAGCATGTTTCCTTTATTTTTAATGTCTCATCCTCCACGAGGAACAAGTAATTTGTTTCCCTCCACTTCCACAGCACAGTCCAACTACTCAGAGGTTATTCATGGTAGTATAGCCAGTGACAGAATGGACAAAATCTTGATGCATAAAAAACACAGACTTCATAAAAAACACTTACCCTTCAATTTATGTATTAAGTCTAATGGGACTTCATGTACCATCCACCTGTTGACAGGATACCAGCAAAGATGACACGGATTGTTTGCTCTCATCAGGAGAGCTTGGCAATGGCATCTTGGTAAATCCTTCATCCATGGAAGGATCATCCTCATTTTCCTCTCCTCCTGATATTGTACTTAGTTTAGCTCTATAACTTTGAGATTTGTCTCTATTATGTGTTTGATGCAGCTCCTCTTCACTCTTAGATGCAGTCTGTTTTAGCACTTCATGTGAGCTGGACAGGGACTGTATATCTAGGTCCAATTTTTTAATATCCTCATTATTTTCCGAGCCATCCATTAAATTTTCACTGTCCATTGTAAAGAAAATGGAGTTTGAGTCTGCAGATATGTTGGGATCCATACCATCACATTCTGGAAGTGTCTCACCCAATATTCCCATGTCAGGAGATTCATGACAGAGAGAATTTAACACAGATGCATTCCAGCACAGCATCTTATCCATTAGAGAACTGCGACAGTGGTCTGAAGGTAGTGTATTTGTTCTACTACCACTTTTCAAACAACTATCTGGAGTATTCATACTCTTCTCTACATTTTGAAAAGTCTGGCTTAGATCTTCTGCAGAACTTCCACTCAAAGCAGAATCTAGTACCTCAGATTCAGTTCTCTCATTTTCTTGAATTCCAGACATTTTTGCATCTGAAGATTCAAATGTGTGACTTACACTCACCTGCTCCTGAGAACTAGATTCTGTAGAATTTAATTGAGACTTCTTTTCTGATACAGGAGGATCCAAGTCAAACACAGGAGACACAGGTTTAGAGCATGCAAAGGTAAAGTCCACCTCCTGCTGCATACTGGGTGTAGCATTCATTGAAGATTCTTCCGTCACCACACCAGCTGAGGACAGCTCAAGGTCTAATGAGCCCTCAGTCTGAATAGCTTTTCTCCACGAACTTCTGATTTCAGTAACTAAATGGAACAAACCAAGGTAAAATTTTAGTACTTTCAATCAGTCTGGTTTTTTTCTGTCCCCTCAGTGACATAAGCAATCCAAGAGGGAATATGTATAGCTGCTTTATACTGTTTATGTTTCCCCAACACGAAGGGGATTCTATGTAAGAAAAAAATCTCTTAAATCGAATTCAAAGTATTCACATCTTATTAGGTCTACTGTGTTGTATTAGAGTGAGCCATTAGAAAAACATGCAACATCACTGAAATAGTTATCTTTTTCTTCTTGTGTGACAAGTCAATGAACTAACCACATTTTTTATCAACAAACATTATAAAAACAGAATTTCAAACTCACGCAGATTTTCTGGAGTTCGGGGTATTTGATTCCTTGTTATAAATGGGTTAAAACACAGTGAGCTAATGAGATCATCTAATGCCATTCCTTTTTCTTCACCACTGTGAGGTGACTCAGACATCACCGACTTTGCAATCTGTAGGATGTCAGAAAACAGCAAATTCTAAGAAATCAAAATTATAATCTCTTCATTTCTGTCAGTTATGGTTACAAGTAAATCTCATTCTCCAAATTATCTGGAGAATCTGGAATATTCTAACTTTTCTGTTATTTACTACTTAGGTTCACAATGACCATAGTAGGCTACAAACACAAAACAAAGATAAGGGACTGAAATCAGATTCCATTCTCAGTTCACTCATCATCTATGAATCCACCTTTCAAACAAGAAAGTGTGTTCAGATAGAATATATTTAAGACATTAGCCAAGAACTGCATAAGCTTGAAGACTAGAGATATATATTTCAAAAATTTTAGCAGATGAAAACCAACTCCCATTTCAGTTAAAAACGCAATTTACTTTCCAAAATAAGAAGTGGCACATTTTACAGTAACCCTTGTGAAGGAATTCCTCAAATATTAAATAAAATACCTAAAAGAAAAAGTATTTACATTCCTGCTTAAAATTACTTTAAAATTATTAAAAGTCTCTGTTAAATATTTAACCTGTGTAACTTAAGAATTCAACAGTTCTTTTTGTTTCTGAATACATGCAGTGTACTTCACAGACTTAAGTGTAATCATACCATGATTCTACTGAACATACTATTCACTTCACCATGATTTTTAAGTATGATGCCTGCACAAACTCCATGCTTTCAGTGCGTACTTTATCAGTCCACTATAAAATTCTGTGACTGATAACTATCTAGCACAAAAAGGTACCTTTCGATGCATGTGGATTAGAGACATTTTTTGTTATAATTAGTGATTTGTTCTCCAAACTTAGTGATTGTTTACTTAAAAACCAAAAAAAAAAAAAAATTACATCCTAACCTCTTCTGCCAGTTCATCTCTGGCTTTCTCAAGAAGTTCATCTCTTTTCACAGGAGACTTTGGCTGGGTAACATTTTCACCTGCATTCTCCTCCATTTCTGAAGTAGGGAATTCTTCCTTTCCATTTTTTAAGTTTTTTTGAGGCACGGGTTTTTCATTTCCTATACAAGTATTCAAGTTCTACAGGAATACAAAGGAATTATTAGTAGTTTTAAAATCAAGAAAGGATATTAGTGTAAACTGCTGTAAAATTTCTTAACTGCAATGGCCCCAGTGTATTTAGTCAACAAAAAATATTTCAGTCTTGAATTCTAACTAAATACAAAATATTTTTACAACTGTATTCAAAGTAGGGCCTAAGTAGTGACTAGGATAGGTGTTACATACAACATAGATGACTCACTTGCAACAACCCTGATCACAGTACAGTGAACAGCTGTGCAATGGACAACTGTACATCCAAGCTGCTTTTACACAACTTAAATTTTTTACACCTAAATTTCAGATTTTCACACTTAAATTTCATTTACAACTTAAAGAAACAAAGTCTGACCACTGCCCACATCAAAATCCTGTTTCAGCAAACAGGGAATCAGTCACACACTGTATGCTATACAGGAAGTCAGATACAAGGGCACCTACTTCCTACTGTTCTTTCCTAAAGCTTAGCCAAGTCACTGAGAGTTAGCTTTTACAATTTTGCCAGACTAACTCAAATGTGTAAAAATACTGTTCAAAAAACAATAAAAAACCACCCCAAAAACCCCATAAAACAAACCAAAGCCCCCAAAAAACCACCCCCAAAACGCTTTTCCACAAAGTCTAAGTTTCAACCAATATAAAAAGGACATGTCATAAGTTTAACTTATTTTAAAGATATATACATTTTTAATTAACAGGTCTCCATTTTCAGATGCTTCTGACGACGACGGCACCAATGAGCTCCTCAAGAAGGGAGAGACAAAAAAAACCCAACAATTTTAGAGACAAATCAAACAATTGGAATGCAAATCTTAGAAGGCTGTTATACAATGTATGCTCCGTATCTGTCCGTTACGATTTCCCTCAATTCGTCCCGGTCATCAGAAAGCAGTTTTACTCTAGGGAGAACAGTGTGACAATTAGAGCAGCTTTAGCCCTAGTTGTGTATCAGCCTCCCAAAAACAGTAAATTGATAAATTCTGCTATTGATTAGCACACAGAAAAATAAGGGATTTTTCAATACAGTTGTAAACAAATCTTCTACATTCTGCTATAAAAGATAACTGGAAAGTCTTCTGCACACTTGACAACATTCTTTTTCCTACGTAGTCTTTGAACCATTTCTGGCATCCACAAGTCTGTTCCTATGTAAACTTGAAATTTAACAATCACCTGGCTACCAAAAACTTCAGCTTTATCACTTCCAGTAAGTTTCGTGCCAATTGCACAGCTCTCAAAACTGCACAGTCCTCACTTGCTAGGAAAAGCAAACCTGCAAATGTTTTTGATGTTATCTGTCTGTAGCCTCAGAAGCAGACAAGCCTCCATGCTGTATGAAGTTACTGAAAGAAACCCAGGATTTAATTGTTAACTACTTTGAGAGTCTCTGAGACTTATATGCAACTACATCTACTGATGTCTAAGAGTGGATCGCATTCCTTTGCTGACTCCCTTGGTCTCTTAGTAGGTAATGTTCCAGCATTTGTAGGAGTCGTAATATGAAAGACAGCATTATTCAAAAGGCCAAGAAATACACCTGGTCTAAGCAAATGACAAAGCGGAAAAAACTTTCTAGGATACCATTGTTCTGTGTTTAACCCTTTGCTGGTACTGTAGGAAGAGTAGCTACAGAACAATGTGACTGTAACTCTCAAGAAAAGTAATGAAAAAGCCTTGTAGAGAAGAAGCTTCTGTTCTCTCCATCTGTCTCTTAAATCTTCACAGCTGGAAAGCAAGAAAAAAACATTGCAATTTGACTGCTACTCCTCCTATTCAGCAGCAACCAGTTGATCAATCTGTCATCAGCTGGAAAAAGCAGCAGTTACTTTAGGACTATCTTGCTAAAGCAAGCAGCTGTGATGTAAGGAACAGGCTACTAAAATATTTCACTAAGACTCAAGTGATGCAAAATATTCAGGTCCAGTAAGTAAACTTTTAATTCTTCTACTACTTTTTTATCAAATTCTCATTAGGCATACCATCTTGAGGGTACTAATGGTGTATGGATCATGGTTTCCAAAGGCTCATCACTTTCCTTATGGCATTCTTCATGATGATAGTCATAATTACCTAGAAAAGCAACCCAAAAGTTTTAGTATTGCTTCCATTTTCTTCACTTAGGCTTCCCATGTGACACAAGCTCACTCACACTACTTCTGTAGACTACACACTGGATGGATTTTACACTTCAAGAAAAATAAATACAAAAGCAGGATAGCACTATCAATCCTTCTGCTCAGGCAGTACCTGTAGTAACAAATGCCCCTAGCAGCCAGCACCTCTTTCTGTGCTGAATACATGTTCAAGAAGCATGATTCTAACTGCTGCCCTGCACATATCAATCAGACTTTTTACCTTCCTCCAAACTACAGTGCCAGCCACATCATCATTATCCCCTCCTTTCCACATACACCTCACTTGTACAGTACATCAATTCCACAAAGCACAATTTCATCCACCTTTACCCCAACTGCATTAATCAATAAATATCTCTGTGGATATACTCATCCGTCTTGCTGCCTCAGTCCAAGCAAGGCGAAACTTTGCATAAGTAAATGTTAGAGAAGTAAATGTTTTGAACATTATTGGAGGTGCACACACCTCAGTCATGGACTGTCTAGAACAATGTACTAACTCTGGCACATCTTGAATACACAGCCAAAGTTTAATCTCAGTAGTTCTCTACAAATCCTGTATTTCAGCTTCTGCAGGGATGAATGGCATTTCCTGTCACATTCAACTCAACACATTAAAAATCCAAGCTCACTTCCAGTACTTAGCTGAGGTCAGTATTTTGCTTTTGGTATTGACCCTATTAACAGACAGAAGTTAAGTTTTGTTAGTGGCTGTATTATTAGATAATGCATCTCAACCACAGACAGAATGTCAGAGACCTCAATTTGTCTCAAGCTTTCTGATTCTACCAGCTCATAGCATCATAGTACAGTGCTTCAATCTTTTAAATTTTTAAGGCAAACTACGTTCAAATCCAATTCTGTAGCCTTTCCTCTGCAGCTTCTAAGCCTTATACCCACATACACTCAGATGCATGGAGCAGTGCTTTCACCTTTGTAACCAAAAGTATTTTCCCACCATTTTTTTTGCATCTTGAAATTCCAATATACCTCTGCTATGCCATTCTTCTTAAAAGGAACTCCAAATGATATGATTCAAGCAGTCTTCCTCCTTGCTTTGTAGCTTTTAACTTGTAATTCTGTACTAGTTACAGTCAAGACTTGGTCAACAAGTAAAATGAGGTCACACAGTAAAATACCATCAGATCATCAGCCAATTAACATGTGCAACAACCATGCCTGATCAAAGTGAGCTCTGATCAACACTATTAACCTAATGACTGAATGCAACTAACACAAATCAAGTGAAGTCCTCACCAAATGGCAGTTACTCAGGAATAAAGTATTTCAGCGTGCACCAGGGAAAGACAGTTACGTGGGAGGACTCCTTCAATTTCTTTTCCTAGACGGTCAACGGGAAAAGTTTTACCTTCTTTCTCTCTTTATTACTCCTCCAACCCAAAGTAACCTTTACAGTTAGACTGAATGTATTCTCTCGAACCCATGAATAAACCTTTGTACAGGGACATCTGTCTCAACATCCTTTGTGCAAGAACAACAAAATATCAAACAGCTCAGCACTGGGTTTTTGCCAAGCTTCAGCGAGTCTCCAAGATACTAGGAAGCTGAAAAATGCAAGGCAATTTTGGCAGAGTCATTCAGAACCAATTACCACAGACTGCAAATGCAAGAAGGGAACCTTTTTGACTTCACGTAACATTTAGCAGCTGTGGTGGTGGGGAAGAAGGAAAACAAGTTTCTCCTGCTCACCCACCTGAAAATAACTGATAAAAGACAGTATCTTCATCTTCATCTGAAGAACTAGAAGACTGAAGTGATGAAGCTGGTTGCTTTCAAAAGGAAAAGAAAAAATTATATAAGCAGGCAGAAAAAGTCAGTTTATCAACAACAATTAATAGACAGTTATTTAAAACAACTTTCCTGCAAACCAGCTGTCAGACTCAACATGAAGTTTCTCTTCTGTCTGCTGGGTAGCTACATAAGGGCATAACCTCTGTCAGTGTGAGTATCAAAATGGAAATTACTGTTCCTTCATCAAATACATTGCTTTAAAAGGGGAAAACAGAAATCAGCAAATATTCAGACTGAACATACTAAATGCTCAGCTTCCACAGGAACAAAACAAAAACCAGTCTGCTCACTCTTATGCCAATCTACCATCTTGATATCTCCAGTGAATATATCACTATAATAAAGTCAAAGAAACATGTATTCTCTTGAATACAGTGCAATATAAAACTATTCCGTGCAAATTCCCAATCACCCAGCGTAAGAGAACAACTAAGACTGGTGCACCACAACACCCTCTTTACTTCTTAAAGCAGAATCGGGTATATTGCACTACGTGAGTCCCCTAACCTTACAAATAAAGCTGAAGTGTTGTAACAGAACACACTAGTTTAGACCTACATCCTCTCTCACCTTCACCCTTTTCTCTTTCCCAGAATCAGATAAAACAAATACTACTTACTAGATCATGTTTAAAGATTAAATTAAAAGGACACTGGCCAAGAATCGTTTTCCACTTTGATTCCCAGATTTCCTGTTTTCTGAGAATAGACTGATGTTCTGGCACACAATGCTCTTGCTTTCTTCTTAGACTGTAACATATAAACACGGAAAATTAAGACACTGGTTCGTAGAGATAACAATTCTATACGAAGAGGGAAAGTATTACGTGTTCTCCCTTATCTTGACAAACCTTTGATATATATCAATTTATTCACGCATTTATGCAAACACTAAGAACTGAAATTCACAACCAAAAAAGCTGCTGCTAGGCAGTCTTTGTGTTTCTTACAGCATAACTGGAAAAACTACACTAAAACATATACACAATAAACACTTTAAATGTCCCTAAGCCAGTTACAGATGAAAGTTTTAAAAATCTCAGAACTTATTAATGCAAAAAGACAAAATAAGCAAAAATCAGATCAGCAAGCAAATGAGATCCCCAGAAACAAAGACCAAAGTATTAATGAAATAAAGGCAAAAAGATGAAACAAGCTAGAGAAGGATCTCAATAAAAAGTTATATAAATAATTAGAATAAACGCTAATTTTCCCAGAGGCTTAAGAAAAAGACTGAACCAACATGTTTTTGCTGTAACATCTTTCTAGAAAACACTCCAGTAGATATGATCCTACCATTTAAGAACAAACAATTAGAGAAATTCTCCCCCAACAATTACCTTTCTGTGTTCAACTCCTGTAGTGCCTTCTTGTAGGATGTAGCCACATCCTCAATTCTGTGAAGTTCTTTTAATTCACATGGACAAGATTCATCTCTCAACGTCATTAGGGCTTCATTTAGCAACTGAATAACTGTTAAGAAATTCAGATTTCCATCTTCATATAAATCTCCTGTACAAAACTTGAAGTAGAGCAAGCAATTAAAAAATAATTAGTGAACAGTACCAATCAGAAAGTTATGTCTCCTGTAGTAAGAGCCAGGACACTGTATACTTTATACTTAGATTCAGGTCCTGATAGTTTTGTTTTTCAAAAAACACATTCTAGGTTAAAGCAATACAAGCCCAGAAAATTTCAACAAAGAGGTATTCCGTTTGACCACTGCCCCAAAAGATACGGCCCAAATAGCACTGATGCTATAACTGAACAATACCATATACTACAAAATGGAAACAAAAGCCAATTAGTTGAACCACCAGTTAAAACAGTCAACATAATTTTAATGTCTAAACCACAAAAAAGTCAAGCAGACTCATTAATGTATTTACTAAACTGAAAAAGTTAACGGGTTAGAAATAATGAATACAAAAGAGCACTAATAAGAAATCTCTGCATAGGAATTACATGTTTTTCATGCATCCTTCTGCAATTACCTCTAATAATCCATTAAGTACTTTTTTAATTTTTTAAGATACTTTACTGCATCCCTGGAGACTAAATGAAAGCCGTTTAGCAATTCAGCAAGAAGGACAAAAACCACTTACTCTATGTATGTTACTTTCAACTTGGTAAACCAACAACGGTGGAACACTCAAAACAACATCAGTTCCATCTAGAATACATGGGTTAACGCAGTCTTCAAGTACAGAATCCACAACCTCCTTTTCCTTTTTCAGAGATGAAAGCATTTCTATTATAAGTGTCCACATACTGCGGACCTTAACAGGAAAGAAGAAAAACACTGTTAAAATGTTTGCTGTAACACCTATAATGACAGAGTATCAAAACAGCATGAAGGCAGATGAAAGTGGCATAACCACAGGTAGAAAAGTGCAAATAACAGTATCTGACAGTAGGTGTTGAAGAAATCAACACACTGTCACAGCAGGAACAAAATGCTCACCTTCTGAATTCTCTCAGTTGTGTCATTTTTGTTTTGGTCATTTTGCTTCATCCTACATGCACATGCAAAACAAAAGTTCAAGCGGACTACAATGAAATTACAGTTCATATTTCATAAAACTGAGCATCTAATCTATTTCATACATCTGAACTTAGTTACAAGGAATAGCACTTACCTGTAAAACTGCTTCTGCACAACTGCATATTCCTTCTTTGTCTGCTTTATATCACTAATTAAAATCCTAGAAAAAAATCCAACAACTAGTACAGGCTTATCAGAATTGTTTACAGTAACTAACCAATTGTTTCTCATCCCAACAGCAATAAGTTACTACAAGTGTCTATTATCAATGCGAACTACAAATATATTCAGCAATTCTACAGCATCCAAATTCCTCACTTTCAAAAGACCAGAGAACAGAATACTTGTACTGGAGTACAAGCAGCTAGACCACAGAAGCTCTTTTGTCAAAGTGCTTTTATTGACATTTTAAGCATGTAAAAACGTAGTAGTCTGATTTTCAGAAAAATTGGGTGCCTAAATCATGCTGCATTCAAAAGGATCTTCAGAGTTCAGATGCATTGTCAAGAATTAAAAAAAAAAAAACCTAAAAAGAATTACATTTTTGAAGGGTTTCAGTCAAAGAGTAAACAGTAGTAATATTTCCCAAACAAGGTCATAGGAGACAAAGAATTACAGGAATCAGAGACATTTAGGAGACTTTGACCTCTGGAAATTGTATTTTTGAGCCTTCCATTGAAAGCAGAGCCTTTAATTATGCTACTCATGATCTTGTCAAACCAAGTCTTGAACATTTCCAATATTTCACTTCTGAGGGCAACCTTTTTCAGTTTAATTGTTCTCACAAGAGATTTTTTAAAACCTCCAGTGGAGTTTTCCCCAAAACACCTGCTGCTTTGTTCTGTCAGGACATATCTGTGTGAAGAGTACCTCTATGTTCTCTACAACTACTTTTTAGACACCGAAGCTCTGATTAAACCCCTAGCATTGCCTTTTTCAAGCTAAACAAACCAAATTTCTACAGCTTTTATGCAGACATTTCACACTCTGAAATCCTCTAATCCACTGCAGTCCTCTGCTAGTATCTCTCCCATCTTTCATTCTCTACCTTCAAGTGGGCTGATCAAAACTGAACATAGTATTCCACATGTGGCATTAGAATTGCCACCTCCAGCCAGCAACTAAGTACCACATAGCTGCCCACTCACCTCCCACCTCCCCAGACCCAGCAGAACAGGAAGAATCTGAAAAATGGTAAAATTTATGGGCTAAGAAGAGTTTAATAACTGAAATAAAAATAATGTAACACAGATGTAAAGGAAAAAGAGAGAAAATAGTAAAACTGAAGAAAAATGTGTGATGCATAATATAATTGCCCACCATTTGCTGACCAGTGCTCATTCCCATACAACATGGCATGCTGCTGATCCTAATTACCAGGACACACTGCTGACTCATGGTCAGCTTGTGGCCACAGAGTACTCTCAGTTCTGATTCTTCTTAGCAGAGCTACTCCACAGCTAATCACCCACAAACCTGTGCTGCTGTTGGGGACTATTCTCTATCTTAGGTGCAGGACCTCACACTGGTCTTTGTTAAACCCCACACTATTTTTGTTGTGCAAGTCCCCAGACCCAGCAAGGTCTCTCTGTGAAATGCTTCCCCACTGCAGTATCTTCCTTCCTCACAGTCTGGCACTATCTGCAGGTTTGGTGGGTCTGTATTCAAGCCTGTCATCCATATTCCTTAAGAAGACACAGCACCAGCCTCATAGGAACTCCACTCATAGACCAGCTACTTGAGTAAAATTTGAGGCACTGTCACCCTTTGGGCTCACCCCTTTAACTAGCCTTCTGTGTTTCCAAGTATGTCAGATATGTTCTGAAACAATGTCAGGTAAGTATCCCTGTGCCGCTGGATGAAAGCAATGAAACCTTTGTTTTACTCTCTTCTGCTGTCAGTGTTCTGTTGGTTCTTTCCCCACTGCTTCTTGGCACAGAGTCTGGGCTACTGATCTTACCCATGCAGCCCAAGGCAAGGTACATATTGGGTATTCCAACCTGTGAGACTTGCAACTTACCATTTTGTTCAGAAGCAGATCCAAATCCTCCATGCACTTCCACCTCCTAATAACATACCACAGGATTCTTTATTCAAGCTCCTAGCAGGCTCTTGGAGGTTTAGCTGAACTTAGGCCTTCCTAGATACATCACTGCACACCCATGAAACATTTCTGTATTTGCGTCTTAAGAGTCAGTTCCCTTTTCTGTATTTCATATGTTGATACACTGTCTTAATGAGGCTGGTTCCTTGTTGCATCTGTTTGTTTTTTGACTTAAGAAGATGGATCACACATAAGCTTCAGCAAGGATCTCTGAAAGCATCCTATCACTCATGAGCTTTCCTGCTTTCCACAAGAAACCTCCTATAGTTGCCTAGGCCAGTGGAAATACACTCAAATTAAAAGGCCAGTGTCATCAGTTTCCCTCTTGTCTTCCTCACATTCCTTTGCATTTAAAGTTCTACAGTCTTGGCTGCAGTGACCATAAAAGTCCTGTAATGTCTCCAAAGAAGTTGTTTCTCTCATTTACACATAGCAAGTTCAAGAGAGTACCGCTCCTACTCAGCACACTTAGTGACTGCATCACAAAGTCATCCTCCAGGTACTCCCCCTTCTTACATTGCTAATGCATCACTGAACCACTTTCCCAGTGAATACCAGGGTAAGCTGAAGTCCTCTGTAAGAATCAAGGTCAGCAGACAGTCACCACAAGGTCTCCCTGGATGCTAAACTCTCATCCAAAGGCATGAAACATGACCGGTCCTCTTGTATGGAGCTATACTACATGCACATATAATACTGACACTGCTCTTTCACCTACAGTGCAACCCCTCGCCCTCTTCTGCCATTTACTAAACAACTCACAACTGTCCATGACAGTGCCCCAGTCATGTAAACTATCCTACACAAATTCTGTAAATTCTGCTGAAACACAGCTCTATGTTTGCAGATAAAGTTGCAGATCATGACATTTCTCAAGCTGGGAGTATTTGCCATAAACAAGAACTAAGAATAGCATACTTTTGGCGAAATAATTAAGGTTTAAGTAAATAAAATGTGTCTCACAGTCAATAAACAAATCCAAATGTTTCATCTTCAGAATGTTTTATTTCAGGATATGACCGTTCAGAGGAAATCATACTCCTATAAATGTAGAATTCCCTAACCATTTTAATGCCCAAGTAACATATAGCATCTTCTAAATGATTAATTTCTTTAGACTACTATGCTTCACAAAAGATCTACAAGCAGTAGAACTGCTGATGAAAGAAAGCAAAGGGGGAAAATATGAGAGGAGTTCAACACAATGAGTTCTGTGATGTAAAGCATATATAGATTTTTCAAATCCTTCTAAAAACACATACACAAGTCAGCTTTTATGAAAAGACTCTCTTTTAATTACTTACCATACTTTTCTCCAGTATTCTTGAAAAACAATGTCTTCCCTTTGAAGATTTTGCAGCAGTTTATTGTATGCAACTCTGTGTCTTGCTTTTGCTATGTACATATCCCGAGGTCTCCACATTACAGCTTCAGCATAACGTATACCACCAGTGCCTAAATAAAAGCCAGGGTTTGGATTGCATTATTTTAGCAAACGGACAACTTCCTAATCTACCTAGATCAAACTGCAAGAATCACAAATCAAGACGCTAATTTTTACCTGGACTGAAACACAGCATGCAGGGTACTGCCACTTTTGCCTTTCTCTCTGTTGCATACATCTTCATTCCCACACTCTCATTCTCTTTCTATATTCTTTAGGTTACAATAATACAAGATGCCAAAACAGACAGACCTGATTTTTCAGAGTTCCTCAAGTGCCAAGAAAGAAAACAGTGTAGCTGTCCAATACTTTTGGACCAAACCAATACTTGTATGGGTAATGGTGCAGAGCATTGCATAGGTGAACCTTGGAACAAGACCCATAAAGCAACAGAGAGTAAAACCATCTGCAAAGTTCTATCACCAGTAGCTCTATGCAAATGCGCAGAACCCCGTGAAAGACTTTCACCTGAGCATCCAGCAAAGAACTTCTTAAAGCTCCTGTCACATATGAAAGACTTGATACATTTACAAACTCAACACATGAAGCATTTTTATTGTCCCATACAGCTTACCTACAGAGAGCTTTTTCATCTTCTCAATCATTATGTATCTTGCAAAACAGTAGAGCACATGAACAAATTTAGCACCACCAGGACAAATCAGTGCGGAAGGTGTAATCCGTGGGAGATTTAATTCCTTCTGCTGCTAGAAAAGTACAATCATTTTAAACACAAAACTAATCTGAGAAGTAAAGCATAAACAACAGCAATCAAAGCATACCAAAATGCTGCAGATTACCCATTAGCAAGCCTGATACAAAGTTAAATTACTTTGTCCACCCTTGTTAACACCTGCTGTGGTCAGCAGAAGAGTATAAAGCTTTTTCCAATGTTCCCAACACTCACTCTGTTCTGTACACAAGATGGTTTCAATGCAAAGAATGAAATCACTGTTGGATAAACATTAAAAATAGGTGCCCTCCTCATTCCTAATTGTTAACACCTACCTTTGAAAACACATTCAAGTTTTCTTTCTTATTTTCTACTGAAGTCATGAATCAGTGTACTTTAATCATATTTAAAGACACTGCATCATTGGTTTTCACCTTACTCACTATTACTAAAATAGTGACATGTTGAGGAACATAAAGACAAGATTTTTAGAACATTCATTAAAACAAAGGCAGCATAAGAAAGCAACATAATAACCAACAATACTTGAAATGTTTTTGCTTTATCTTTAAAAAAGCTTGCCTTACATTGCAGCCCCTTTCCCATATACAAGAAAATACTATTAATTAAGTTTTTCATGCATCTGACTCAGCTTACACAATAAGAAACACCTTCCCAGGCAACTTAAACAAACAACCCTCAAGATGAATGAACTTATTCCCACCCAGGGCTAAGGGACTCTCTAGACTTCCATTTAATCAAATACTGTTACCCAAAAGCAAGTCACAGCAATTTTAGGACCCAACTAGGTCTCTGTCTTCTAAATTACCCAATGCCAACGTCTTGTCTTTAAGGAAAATAAACCAAGATAAACCGTATGAAAGAATATACAAGGCAAAACTGAATTCTTTGATAAAAAAATCCTTATTTAAAACTCTGATATAAAACAGTTCCCTCAAAAAAAGAATAAGGTCACAGAAACCAGTAGAGCATAACTTCTTAATACTCACTGAAATTTCCCTTAGCCACAGACAGCAGTACTTCCTAAATCTAGGACTTAGTAGCTTTTTGTCTCCAGATTGCCTTTTCATTTAGAAGAGGAGGAGGAAAAAAAAAAAAAAAAAAAAAGAGCCATGTCAAAACACATTCAAATATTCAGATTCCTAATTAACCACTGTAAAAACAAGAGTAAGACACAGATTTTGTATTGATGCCAAGCCAGAAAATGAGGAGTATATACCCTAGACCAAGAACAGATAAAGGTTTGTCAAATGACAATGTTTTCTTTCCGTAAATTAATTACAGATTATTCCAGATTGTTTGTCTGCAGCTCTTTCTAACTTGGGACAGAGGAAGAAGACGAAAAAAAAGAGGGCAGAAACCTGACCATTTTCATATCACTGGTCTTCCTCCTGCCATGCATGGAGACAGGTTTTTTTTGTATGACAGAGCTGTTTCAGCTTATGCATTCAAATGCATAAACTGAAACGGAGAGTACACCTAGGCTATTAAAGTACATAAGGTTCTTGCCATGTTGAAGGTCCTGGAAACAATCCATAAATGGCAAATGTTAATTGTTTGGTGAGAAAGAATGGGAGAAGTAGATTATTTATCAGCTATTAAAATTTATATCAAAGTTGCCAACAGAAACAACTAATTAAGGCAAGGTTTCAGACTGATCAAAATGACACAAATTCTCTGCCTGTATGCTCTTCTTCCGAAGTATTCCCCAAGAAACCACCTCCTTCCCCTCCAGCAACTATATAAAACATATTCTTAATTAAGGGCACAGCAGTAACCTCAGAAGCCAAACACTTACGTGAAAGCTTTTCTTGCACGGCGCTTATCCAGCTTAGTAAACAAGAAGCGGGCAAGGGCAGAAAACGCTCTGCTGTTAGGTTTAGCAAACATATCCCTAATACACAAACAAATACCCACATCAGAAGTAGTTATGGCAACAAATTAACAGGCTGCTAAAGACTACAAAACAGTGTTATGTTACAGAATAATTAACTGAATGCTGTATTTGCTATGTAAAAGTATACACCCTTCATCCTATTTAACATGGGTTAAATCCAGGGCTGCAATAAAAACTGTGGTCAACAGGTCGAATTCTGCTCTTCTGTTCTGCTCTTGTGAGACGCCTCCCACCTGGACTGCTGCATTCAGCTCTGGTGCCCCCAGCTAAACAATGACATGGAACTGTCGGATCAAGCCCAGAGAAGAGGCATGAAGTTGAAAAGTAGACTGGAGCACCTCCCCTACAAAGACGGTGAGAACTGGGGCTGTTCAGGAGAAAAGAAGGTTACATCGAGACCTTATAGCAACCTTACAGTATATGAAGGGGACCTACGGGGAAGCTGGAGAGGGACTGTAGTGGAATTGTTGTGAAAAAAAAGGAGTAATGGGTACAAGTTGAAAGGGGGAAAATTTAGGTTAGGTATGTTAGAGATATGGTAGAAATCCGTGCCTATGAAATAGGTATTTGGGAAAAAATCTTTACTGTGACAGTAGTGAGACACTGGAACAGGTTGCCCAGAGAGGCTGCAGATGCCCCGACCCTTAAAGTGTTTAAGGCTGGGGAACAGTACCTTGAGGATGGGGAAGGTCTTAAGCAACCTGGCCCATGGCGGAGGGGCGGGGTTGGATCTATGTGATGTTTTAAGGTCCATTCCAGCCCCATAATGGTCACGGTGCTATGAAACAATTCCGGCAAGAGTGCTACCTTTCAAGGTAAGTTTTCAAAACACGGCTAGGAAGCCCCCGCCTTCCCCACTGGACTATGAGGGGAAGCAGGAGTTCTCACCATTCCTGGACTTCATTTCTTCAGAAAGTCTGAGACAATGTGGACTGTGGCGGCACTGCGGGCACTTCCCGCGCGTCCTATGTCGCCAGGGGCACCGGGCCCCTCGGCGGCCATGGCGAGACGCTCCCGCCTCGCGCTCCCGAGTGACACCGGGGCCCCGCTCGGACCCCCCACCTCCGCCCACCCCCGGCCCTCCCTAGCACTAACCTCCCTAGTTTTATGCCACGGTGGTGTTTCGGGTCGAAGCCCAAGGCCAGCAAACAGATCCAGAGGTGATCGCTCTCCCACTGAGCGCCCACGGCAGCTCTCGGGCGCCGGCGCCCTAAAGACGCCGGCGCTGCCGCCATCTTCCCGAGCCCGCCAAATTCTCCCGCGCGCGGGCCCACCCATACCACTCCCCTACCCTCGCGAGACCTCCCGTCCGCCACCGGCGTCCGAAGTCGAGGCGAGCCGGACGCGCTGCCTCACGGGAGGTGTAGTCCCGGTGCCGGTATCCCTCCAGAGGGCCCTTCGTTTTTCATAATCGGACTGCAGAATTTACTCGGGGGTGGGAAAAACAAACAAACAAACAAACAAAAAACAAACAAAAAAACAAACAAACAAAAAAAACCCAAAACCCAAACAAACAAAAGCCCCCAAAACCAAAAGAAAACAAAACAAAAACCCAAACAAACAAAAAGCCCAAAACAAACCAACAAAACAAAACCAATTTAAAGGAAGGGGAAAAAAAAAAAAAAAAAAAAGAAAAGAAAACACAAAAAACCCAAACCCTAACCCTAACAAGAAAAACTCACACCGACAAGTGTGCTGTCCGGTTCAAACTTTTATTCCAAGGCATTTCAGCGAGCAGACTTGCAGGCCCTCAGCCGGCGCGGTGCCGCAGCAGCACGCACACCGACCGCACGGAGAGCTCGCCGCCGCAGCAGCCCGGCCTGCTCCTCGCAAAGAAATGGTAACAAGTCCGCCTCCAGTCCCGTCCCCTCTCTTCCCAACTCCTGGAAAAGGTACTGTGTGCGAGCAAATGCAGACTCACCAGCCCTTAGCAAATAACTGATTGAGATTTTATTAAAATATTTTTTTAAAATCACTGTTGCCCAGAACTCTCCTTACACTCAATTCCCTCTTTTTTTTCCAAATTTTCTTTTGTCCGAAGTCTTTCTTTACTCTCTGTTGTCCTTTCTTTTTACAATCTCTTCCTCTTTCTTATTTAAATGCTATTCTTATACCCCAAACACTTTAATATTGAAACATTTACTCCCTTTAGTCTCAGGTGCCACAACTGATAGCGTCATGCCAGCCATAATATTTGCACACAGAAGGCATGTGGAAAGAAAGGAAGTCCTTTGGTGCATAAAGCACTCTTGCCAAAGGAAAGCTCTAAGCCTCTAAGCTCTGTAGGTGCAGAGCCTAACAAAAGAACCTGAGAAAATCTGAGATAGACAAAGTCTCTTACCCCTTCCAGCAGCAAAGAGGTAGATGCAGCACTGCTTTTCACATAGACTGAAAGTGGGCAAATCCTCATCAACTCCTTTTGTTGGCAGCCCTGTATGCAAAGCACTGGGGTGTTCTCATGGCTGCTACCAGCAGGAGAACAAATCATCAATAAAAATCAGATTAGTTGGATACACTGGTTAGGCTATACCTGGCTTGTAGAATTGGAGCCTGACACCTGCGATAACCAATTAATGTAGCGTGTATGCCTTACATTGAAAAACCCAGATTTTGATGCAGCTAAGTGAAACAGTACTGATTTTTAAAAAAGTATCCCCATAATCCCTAAACTAGACAGGTTCATCTTTAAAAAGGAGGAATCTAAATTAAACATGGCAAAGGTACATTGTATCAAAAAGACATTTTTATGCTTCTCTATTCAGCTCTTTGCCCCGTAATGTAAGGACCATTTGTGCGTGAAAAATCCTGTTGATCCTCTTCATCCAAATCCAAAATGTCTGGGACATCATCTGACTCTGAAGACAGGTCTGTAATAGCGAAATCTGGAACCTGTGTAGGAATGAAATTTCAATCAATTCAAAAGTAAAACTTAACAAATTTGTGCAGCACTCCTTCACTGAAGACAAGACACAAAGGTGCTCAGCACCTCTAGAAATCAGACCAAACACCTGATTACAGAGTGAAATATGCTCAGACACAAAGGAAACAGGAACCATTAAGACAAATCAAATACTACACAAAATGGAAATCAGTTGCTTAGAAGGTCAGATTTTATAGTAGAGATGGAAAAGAGCTGAATGTAGTGAAACTAGTTACTGGAAAATTAAGAAAGGAGGTTTTCAAACTAATTTTGCCTTTCTTCTTTTCACCGAAGCAACGGACTATACAAAGTAATCTGCCCTGAGGAGATTGATACAGGTTGCTGTGTTGCTCTGCCTGCCTACTGCATCAAACCTTTTCTGACAAAACAAATACCTGGAACTGCAATCTCACTTTCGCCTCTGTTTTAAGTACATGTATAGTATTCTGTACTGCTAATCAGCACAGGGTTTCAGGAATTGCCAGAAAGACATCAGTGGATACATGATGTTAACAGACTTCTAAAAATGTTGGCTAAGACACTTAGGAGCTTAAGTCCCAACCCTTAAGTCCCCTTAGTAGGACTTAGATTACTTAGGCACTTCTGAAAAATGGGATAAAATTAAGCAATTTACTCCTAAGTTTTTTGCCCCAAGTGAAAAATACTCACATCTGTAATATGATTAATGGTTAGTTTTAATGTTGGTGATGTGACATACTTAGAGCCAGACACACTATCAGCAAATAACTACTGCTGCATTTTGACAAGACCTTGGTTCTGCATGTTCAAAGCAACAGTAGCTTGTAGGCATTTCTGTAACTTAAACTCAGCACTGACTAAAGAGGCATTTTGATGCATTCCCTAACTGCAAAACACCTTATAACTTACTTCAATGAAAGACAGTAAGCAAGAAAAATCTGTGCTTTGCCTGCTACGATGACAGGTCAGAAGGGCAGACAATGTATCAAATAAAGGGACTACTGCTTCAGCTACCAGGTTGTACACAATACAGAAGCACTACACAGTAATTTACTGGTCTTACAGAGTAGGTTGTCATTGGACACCAGGGATCTTTGAAATACTAATTATTTATTAAAACTGATCTTTAGAAGAACTTAAGCAACATGTGACTAACCAGGCACTGCTGTGAATACCATGAAATGCATGTACTACTTTGGGAACTTAAGCTTGATCAAAATAGGATGAGTAATTTTTGTTTCCCAAAAGATCAAAAGGCACTAGGGAAACACAACTTTCTACCAGCAGGAATTATCTGGCATCTTTCTACTTATGGCAGTTTTCCTAAAATTCTCATTACTGCACTTAAAGAAAGCAACAGGCTTCCCCATTATCAGCACTTGAGCTTGTATTTCATACTGCAGTACAAATACAGGTGTCCTAAAAATACTAAGTAGTCCATATGCAGTTTTTAAGAATGTGCCCAAATGGATAGTTTTATGTATTTACACTGATCAGGACACAGCCATATTCAGTAAGTGTGTCTGACCAGTCAGAATTTTCTCTATCATACATTTAAGAGGTTCTTATTACTTACATCCATTTTGTTCTTAGTGACAACAGAGTAACTGCTCAAGTTTAAGTTTCTGCTTTTTTCTTCTCCTTAATGCATGCAGTAGAAGAACCTGACTCCTTTAATGTAATAGTAAGATTTTGATAGCCATGAGAGAACTTCAAATTGGAGTGTATCTCAGCATGAGTAAAACAGACTGGATGTCAGTATGACTCACCTAAGTTTTGACCATGCTAAATTATATTAGAATGTATCGGCACCAGTCTAACTAAAACAATGCCCATGATGTTATGGGATTGCTTAAGTAGAAGATCTTTGCTTCCAGCTGACTCACTGTTTTCTTTCAACTTCCTATCAATTAATGAATAAGAGTAAGACCAGATAAAACTCTTCTTCATGCAATTTCTCTGTATGATTCAGTAAATCATTTACAAAGATATAACACTTGCAAAATCCCTACACAGAACAGTGCAAAAAATACTATGGCATTTTGCTGTCTTCATACACAAATGCTGATGTCAATACTAACAACTTCAATCTGGTTTTTTTTTTTTTTTTTGCTAAGTTTTTAAAGCTGAGCCATTAGCATTTTGACACAGTGTTTTCATTTTGTGAGCTTTCAGAACAAGAACTTATTTTTACTCATCAAGAGACTGTATTATCCAAAAGAAATAAAATTGCCATGAATCAGCAATAAACAAATATAACTTCATTTACGAACATTGTGCATAATACCTCCAGCAAGCTGCTGCAATGTTAAGACTCTGATCATGCAAATTACTAACAAGCATGCTTAAAAACAAGTTCAGTTCCGTTTCATCTTTTTGAGGGTTTATAAAAGCCTTTTGGTGGTAGTTACTGCTTTTTTTAAATAATGAGAAATAATTCATCAGTTGTTCCCAAATCCTTTCACCTATTTTACTAGCTATAAAATATTACCCTAAGTTAAACTCTGGAAAAGACTATTGCAAAAATATTAATCTTGAAGAATAGGAGACATTTCCAAACCTTTACACTTTTCTTTAGATTGAGGCAAACTAACTGCAACTCCAGGCCTCATACAAATCTTGTAATTTGGCTTTGACCAATGCTATAAATATGTCTGCAAAACTGGTATACCATAGGGAGCTATTTACAAATGCTTATATTGAAAGCTTTTCTAAAAAACAATTATCAGCAATGATAGAATAATAATTCTCTGTTAAATGCACCTGGGAAGAGGAAATGTCAACTAGCATGAACAATTTTTGAGTGATCTCTGTAAGAGAAAAAGTAATTTTCTAAATAAACCCTAAATAACCTTATAAGTGATAATGATCTTTTTTTCAGGTTAGTATTCTAACCTTTACCATCCCAAGTTTTGTGTGCCTAGAAGCCTTTGACATTCTTCCATTTAATCTAGTTTAACTGCCTTGTTGAATCTACTTCCTATAATTTTCAACACATCTGGTCTTACCTTTTTTAAAAGGTTCCAGAGAAACCTCACAGTTTTCTAGCCCAAGCTATATCCTCAAACATGATTTTGGACTAAGAGGAAGTAAGCTTCTGTGCAGTACAGCTGAGCTGTTTAATACATACAGTTAAACAGGTAAGATGGCAGTATCTCAGCTTTCCCTTCTTTATTTGTGAGGAAGCACCTCAGCTTCAGTCAAAAACAGTGGCAAAAAGACAAGACTTTGAAAGGCATCATTCTTGCCTCCAGTGGACATGTCAATAGTCTCTCTCTAGCCGCACTAGAGAAAAATCTTAAGTTCTGCCTGTAGAGCTGCAGTTAGACTGGAGTGTGGAATATGCTATGCTAAATTACATGCAATAAGATACCCATGCAA